AAAATTTCATTTTCCTACCAGGTGGAACACTATAAGAGGTTATGTGCATATATTAAAAGTACAAGAGGATCGTGTGTACAATGTTTCAAATTAAAAGGAGAGCCATGTGCTTAGATGAAACTACAAGGAGGTCATGTGCATATAGCTCAAAAGACAAGGGGTTAAGTGCAATTAACCCAATAAAATATTACACAAAATAATGAATTAAAGTGAATCACAACGCGGTTTTAAAATGTTATTAGTATCGTGCCTACCACTACACCCAGGCCCAGGCTGGGCTCCACCACCTTGTCCGAATTAGGGGTGTGCGCGGGCCATAAACTCGCGGGTTCTATCAAAACCCGCCCTCATCCCGTCAAACAACGGTTCTTGATTTTGAAGAACCAAACTTGTGGGTTTTTAACGGGTTTACGATAGACGGGTCCATGGCGGGTTTGCAGTAGGACCCAACCTTCACGGGTCGAAACCCGTTATCGTCTAAACTATTTTTTTTATATATATAATTTATAAGTTTTATGGGAGAATAATTAGAAACTAAAATGAATAACCTAAAATCTTAAATTGAAACCAAACATAAATAATGTATATGTCAAGAGTAAATAAAAATTACTATAAAACTAAAAATAACTAATTCATAACTTAAAAGATAAAATTTAAATAAAATAAATATAGCATTTTCAAGCATAACCAACACTATTCAGCTCCATTCAACACCATTTTTTTCCTCTCTTTTTTCTGTTGTGTGTTGACCGTTGTATATATCTTTTTTCCAACATTTTCTTAGAGATTTTCATAATCTTTAGGTTTTATCTATCCTACACCCGGTGAACGTTACACCGGGTGTTTTTTTACCGTTGATCTACACATACCAATGTGGGTGTGTCTGTGTTTGTGTGTATATGAATGGTAAAGATCTACCCGGTGTATTTCACCCGGTCTAGGATCTCAAAAGCCTAATCTTTAAAGCTATTACTTCCACAATTATAGTTTAGTTGATTTATGTATTTGATACACTAGAGATACTTTATTTATTCATTAATATTATTAATTTATTATACTATATAATGTAAGCAAAACGACGTCGTTTTGTATGGCGGGGCGGGACGGGTTTCACGGGTATTAAAAAAATTGAACTCGTCTAAGACCAAAACCCACGGTTCTTCACCATTTTAGGACCCAATCCTATGGATGGATCTATCCGTCCGGTCCCAACGGGGCGGTTTTTCACGGGTTTGACGGATGTAGCGGGTTGGTGGGTTCGACTTGCTCACCCCTAGTCCGAATCATTAACCTTAACCACACATGTAGGATATCACCTCCTATAATATCAATTTATAAAATATAAATTTAATTAGGGTAAATTACACCCACACCCCTCAAGTTTGCTAAAATAAATTTTAAGGTCGTTGTAGTATCATCGGTAATTACAATCAACCCTGAAAGATTGTTAGAAGACCTAACGGAATAATGCATTGGATAAGTTATTTCGTTAGGGTTATAAGTAACAGAATATTATTTTCAGGCAGTTGTGGAGACAATATAAAGCTAATGAGTGCATGAATCTCCTACCAATTCTTAAATCTTTATTATTTTATATAAAATTTATAACTTTTTGCCTATGATAACATTAACATCCCACCGGGAAACAATTATAGTGCATATCGGTCTTTAGGACATCAAATCTTGGCTATGATTATTGTTCAGGGATGTGGATATGATTACAAATACCACATGGACCTTAAAGTTGTTTTAACATACCTTAGGGGTGTAGGTGTAATTTATCCCATTGATTATTATTCATAATATTTTGGGAGATTACACTTTTCGTTCCTCATATCTGCCCCGATTCCACTTTTGGTAACCCTTATTCCAAAGTGAACAAATTCCATCTCCAATTTTCAATTTTTAAACACATTTGGTCCACTTCGTCACGGTCACGTGTCCGTTCACATCTAACAGAAACACACTATTTGAGGCAAAAAATGAAATTTGAAATTGTTTTTGGGTTGGAAAACAAGTAAAAATTTAAAGTATTATTTATAATTATCTTTTTTAATAATATTTAGTATATTAAAAAAAAATTGAATGATATTTAATTTTCTAGGAATTTTCGGAAAAAAAGTTAAAAACTACCCATGTGGCCACGTGGGCTTAAGGGCTCCTCAATTCTTGTAAGTAGGAATAAAGGTAATCAATCGGATTGAAATTGATTCTTGATTGTTTGGACCATCAAGTAAGTGGGGGAAACTTGCTATATTTGATGCTCAAAATCATTCTACAACATATTCCCCTCTATTAATTTCTAATTAAGTGGCGTTTTAGCAAACAAAAATATTGAATATTTTATATTAAATCTCGTTTCACAATTTTTTAAAGAAAGAACGAGTTTGTTTTGTCCAACTATACCATCAGATGTACATCTACCTTAATCGTCACTTAAAAAATACTCTTAATTATTTTTATGTGACTTGAAATTCTCTTAATTAGTTTTGACGTTGATTCACTAACAAACCAAGACATGTTGTGTACGGACATGTGCCGATGTTGTGTATATCTACCTTAATCGTCACTTAAAAAATGTTCTTAATTATTTTTATGTGACTTGAAATTCTCTTAATTAGTTTTGACGTCGCTTCACTAACAAACCAAGACATGTTGTATTCGAACATGTGCCGATGCTTTGATATCGACGTTAGCTTAAAGGGTACACTAACTTTTGTTCCCTATTATTAATGGTGAAGGGACTAAAGATTTTTTTTTTTCTTTCTTGACTGGTAAAATAACAAAATAGGTTATAATATTCACAAAAAAAAATATAAGTTTTTTTTTTTTTTTTGTAAATGATTTTATTTTTTTAACTAGATATTGGGAAGAGCTATAGGCGGAAAAACCGGCCGAGCGACCGAAGGATGGGATATCGGAATCACCAAAGTTCATTTTCAGACATCGCACATTTTCACTTCACTTAAAATGCCTTCCTCTCTTTCTATCATCCAATGCCACAGAGACGAGGTTTTTTTTTTTTTTTTTAATCAAATATATATATTTATAATTATATATATATTTGAATCCGATTACTACTTAGGTAAAGGAGCTTCCTCGAAAAGCAGAGGTCCTCGCTAGGTCAAACCATACCGGAATCGAAATGTTCAAATACGGTGACCATATTATGGGCATTCAAGGGCACCCCGAATACACGAAGGACATTCTTTTGCACCTAATTGACCGTATTTCTAACTGCAATTTCATCGAGGTTTTTTACATAATATTTTCAAGAGTTCGATTTTTGAATTGAATATATATTAGGTAATTGTTATTTATTTTTTTATTTTTATTTTTATTTTTTTTACATGTATAGGAATCTCATGGTGAAGAGGTGAAGTCTAAGCTGGAAGAAGTTGAGCCAGATACAGAGGCATGGAAGAAACTGTGCACCAACTTTCTCAAAGGGAGATTGTGATTCACATTTATTTACCAACATTATTAATTAATTAATTAAGGCTATTTATATTGGAAAATGTAAATATAGATTTTTAATTGGGCAAATGCATTTTGATCTAAATTAATTAGAGTGCATCGTTAGATGCTATTCAAATGTGACCTGTTGATAACCCAGTTTTAATTCATTAGTTAGTATGTGATATAATAATGCAAAATAAAATCCAAATGTAATATGTATGTATAGGAGTAGAAATTGGAACGAAATTTCTGATTCCGCCGTATCTGATTCAAAAGAAATTGGGTTTGTAACAATATTTTCCTTTCATAATTCCAAATATGTTCCGATTCCATTTTTCTAGAAATGTTTTGGATCGGAGTTGGAGTATGTGTATTAGACTCCGATTTTCGATCTGATTTTAATATCAATATTATTAGTGAAATTACGGTTACTCCATGAGTTAAGGTCAAATTACATAAAACCCTTATGTTTCGGTAACTACAACCAATCCCGTAAACTATGAATGTTCTTACACGTCCATCCTTATGATATCAAATTCAACATAATTTTGTAGATTTCGTGGAATTTCCTCTAGTTTGTACTTTTTTTGTGCAAAATGCAGTTTCTGATGCACCACAATATGATATATATATATATATATATATATATATATATATATATATATATATATATATATATATATATATATATATATATATATATATATATATATATATATATATATAAGCAAAAAAAAAAATAAAAAAAAATATATATATATATATATAAATATATATATTAAAAAAATAAAATTTATTTTTTTTTTTTACACATAAAAAAACACAATACATTTATATATTTTTTTTTATAAAAAAAAAATATAAAAAAATATAATTTTCTTTCTTTTTATTTAAAAATAAAAAAAAAAAAAAAATATATACACATATCTCTCTCTTTTTTTCTCTCACA